GTAGAATTGAGTGCTTTTGAGTCAATTGATTATCTCAGGACAATTGTATAAATCATTTTCATTAATGACTGTCACCAGAATGTCAATCTGTAGAGACTTTTCTAAAAGTGGACACATGCGTGTCAATATGATCATTCAATCGATTATTTGACATGACTGATAAGGCTAACCATACACTATGCAATCTTCTATAGATCTTCAATCTGCCATGTATTGCAAGGACCTGCATGTTTAGATAGAGGTTATACGGATTGTATTGGTTTGTTCCCATACTGCAAAGTTCTGGTAAAATCTACAATACTTTGAAAAAGTATTAATACCCCTTGAAATGTTCCACATTTTGTCATGTTAAAACCAGAAACGTAAATGTATGTAACCACTTGCCCTCCAGAGGATTTACCCCCACCCCCCCTTCCTGACCAAGCCATTTTTTTTTGCGTTACAGCGCTGCGTTGCTTTAACTGACAATTGCGTGGTCGTGCAACGCTGCACCCAAATAAAATTTACTTCTTTTCCCATGAATTGAGCTTTCTTTCAGTGGTATTTGATCACTTGTGCGTAGGTCCTTTTTTTTTTTTTTTTTTTTTTTTGTTTGTTTTTTTTTTGTTTTTTTTTTGCGCTATAAAAACAAAAAAGACAATTTTGAGAAATTATTGACTTTTTGCTATTATACAAACATGTCCAGTAAAAAAATTGAAAAAAAATCTAATTTCGTCATTTACACCAAAATGTTTTCTGCTACATGTCTTTGCTAAAGAAGAAAAAAATCCCAATGCATGTAAATTAACTGGTTTATGTGAAAGTTATAGTATTTACATTTATTTGTAAAAAAAAATTTTTGAAAACCATTAATTTTCCTTCCACAATTATGTGCCACTTTGTGTTGGTTTGTCACATAAAATACATTTGTTTTTGGTTGTAACATGACAAAATGTGGAAAATTTCAAGGGGTATGAATACTTTTTCAAGGCACTGTAGGTGTGTTCACACTGGCGAATGCACCCTGGCATTGATTACCTATACATTGGCTGCAAGTAGGCAGCCACATTGAAAGCAATTACACCCCAATCACATGTAATCGCTCATTCAGCATGCAGATTGCCTGCATTCAGGGTGGTCACTCGCATGTAATCGCTGCCTAAGAGATTACATGAAGGTGGGCGCATTGCTTTCAGTGGGTCATCATGGCTAGGGTGCAAGTGTGAGTGCATCCTTAAGGAGATTGTACAGAGACTATGCAGCCAGATTGTATAGTGTATGGCCAGTTTAAAAATGTTAAACCGGTCTGGGGGATAAAACATTTCAGGAGAGACTTGCAGAACTTAATATGTACAGGCTGGAGGAAAGAAGGGAAATGGGAGCTATGACTGAAACCTGTAAATTCATCAAGGGGGTGAATAGGGTTCAGGATGAAGCAAGATCAAGAACACGAGGACATGACCTCAAACTAGCAGGAGAAAAATTCAAAGCTAGTCTTTGAAAGTACTATTTTACCAAGAGAGTAGTGGATGCTTGGAATATATCTTCAGCAGAGGTAGTGAGTCGGTCAACAGTATGGGGACTCAGAATATGCTTGGGACAAACATAGATCTATAAATTGAAGAAAAAAAAAAAAAAAAAGCAGATTTGATGGACCACTTTTAATTTCCGCAGTCACTCTTCTATGCTTCTACAGTGATTGCATTTGATCTTGACAATGGCAAGTTGATTGGCTGTGGCAGAATGTTATTTGTTTTGGATCAATTGAATGAATATCTGCATATTTGTCAACCAATTGTAATTAAGATCAGTTAACTATTTCCATACCGGGCACTTTTACCCCCTTCCTGCCCAGGCCATTTTTCAGGTTTCAGCGCTCTCACACTTTGAATGACAATTGCACGGTCATAAAACATTGTACCCAAAGTAAAATGTTATCATTTTCTTCACACAACTAGAGCTTTCTTTTGGTGGTATTTAATCACCGCTGGGGTTTTTATTTTTTGCTAAATTAACAAAAAAAGACCGAAAATTTTGAAAAAAAAAAAAACCCACATTTTTCTTTTGTTTCTGTTATAAAAGTTTGCAAATCATTGTTCTTCATAAATTTAGGCCAAAATGTATTCTGCTACATTTGGTGAAAATAACCCAAATTAGGATGTATTTTTTAGTTTGTAGGAAAATTATAGAGTTCACAAACTATGGTATAGATCTGAATATTGATCAATCCTGAAGTACTGACGGCCAATCTAATTTCTTGAGGTCCAAGAATGTCAGAACAGTACAGATATCCCCCAAATTACCCCTCTTTGCAAAGTAGACGTACTTCATAAGAGACATGGTGAGTTTTTTGAAGTTTGTGGGGGTTTTTTTGTCATAATTTTAGTACTGCGTGGACCTGGAAGAAGGGGACATACCCCGAAAGCTTGTCCTCAAAATTGTATGTTAATGCAAATAAAAAAAAAAAGTATCACGGACAGTACTCAATTGTTTGTCGGAAAATGAAAAAAAAATTTTTTTTTTTTGTGCTTAGCTGTCATTTGGCCACAGCTAATCACATGACATGTGCATGTCATCGCTGTGACCATTCACAGCTAGACACTAGTATACAATGGATGGCATGAATGAAGCCATCCATTGTATACAACTGTCGTGACCTGTTCTGATTGGTCACAGCAGGTCACATGGTACTGGCAACGGGGGCCGGTACTCAGATCTGTCATCGGTCGTGTCCTGGGCACACGGCCGGTGACAAATCGTGCGGCTCTGCAAGCATGAAAACTGCGCATGCCCAGGAGGACGCCATATGGCGTCCACCCGGAAATCTACAGCATTTTGCCGGCTGCCAAACGGCTATTGGATGGGCAGCTATTGGTAAAATGATTATTATTAATTGGTTGTTTCTGACTATTTCACATGTCTGTGTTTTCCCATTATGAGGTAAATTGAAAGTTTGTACACAATAGGCATATTATATCTTGTGTGCAGACTGTTTCAATAACATCTCGTGCCTTTCACACGTGTATATATATATATATATATATATATATATATATATATATATATATATATATATATATATATATAATTATCATGGTTTATGGAATGATTGTGTGTTCTATCTTATGACTGCTGGATACTTTATTAAACACACACTGGAGATGTGCGACAACCGATTTTTAAGAAAAAAAAAAAAGTAATTATTTTTATAATGTATCCATAGTGGAGGCACTAACACAGGAGGTATGTTACTGGCCAGAAGTGAAAACAGAGGGGGAAAAAAAGAAAACTAATGCAGCCGCCACATCAAAGGATCAATCATCTGCAATATATAAACATTTTTGGGTTTTAAAGCAGAACTATAGGCAAAACAGTTTTTTTTTTTTCCATTCTGAATAGCGTATGGGAGGGTTCTACCCTTGTAAAACTTATTTTTTCGCCATCTGTGTACCATTTGCAGATTTTTTTTTTTTTTTTTTTTCCTCTTCACTTCCAATCCCATAGCCTAACAGGAAGTAGGAAATCACTGCAGTTTAAGAGAATTCATTGGGGACACCCAGGTCAGCAGAACTAGTGTCACCATTGGAAGATTTCCCCTCTATTACTTTTCTGGGGACAACCCCGGGGGAATGACATTTATTTATATTTTTTTTAACTTTTCATCCAATGTATTTGTGTTTCCAGCAAATCTTCTGTTTTTATCTTTTTTGGCTTTCACTTCCTCTTCTGTCCCTACATCGTACCCCAATTACCCAGTGTCTCTCATTTTTGTACCCTGATCCTCCTTCTGATTGTACCCAGTCCTTCTCTGTCCCTTCTTCCAGACCCCAATCCTCCCTCTATTGTACAGCAATCCATCTTTTAGAACCCATTCCTGCCTATTTCCCCCGATCATACCCCAAATACCCCCATGTCTATTATTTGTACTATAGTCTTTCATGAGCCTCTTTTTGTACCCCAGTTCTCCCTCTGTACCTGAACTGTACCCTACAAAACCTCGTTTGTACTACAGTCCTCTCTGTGACTTATTTCCCCATTCCCTCTTGGTTCCTCTATTGTGCTCCAGTCCCTCTATTGTACCCCAATCCATCTTTTTCCCTTTATTGCACTCCAGTCCCTTTTCTGTCCCTCTATTGTGCCCCAGTCCCTCTCTACTCCTTTCTGTCCTTCTGTACTCTGTCCTTCTATTGCACCCCAGTCCCTCTCTTTCACTCTTTTGTAATCAAACCACTGTGCTACTCTTTTGTACCTGAGTCCCTTCTCTTTCCCTGTATTGCACCCCTATCCTCTCTGACCCTCTATTGTACCCCAGTCCCTCTCTGTCCTATCATCCTGGAGTCCTTTCCTATCCTTATATTGCACCCCAATCCCTTTCTGTTACTTTATTGCACCCCCTCTTTTGCACCTCATTCCCCCACTTTTTTTTTTTTTTTTGTACCTCAGTCCCCCTCTGTTCCCCTATTCTACCCCAATCCATCTTTTTCCCTGTATTGCACCTCAGTCCCTATCTGTCCTTCTATTGTACGGGAATATCCTTTCCCTGTATTGTATTTCAGTCCTCTCTGTCCCTCTATTGTACCCCAATCCCCCTCAACACTTGATCCTATTTAGGGCCAGTGTATAGATGTAAGGCCCTCTTGCTCTTCTCTCCAGTAAATGATTGTGCTGCTGACTCCCTCATGCTGGTATAAAGGTTAAACAGTAATGTTGCCCATGTCAGCTGCTGTAATGTTTCTCTTCATTTCTGGCCCAAACATGGTGGGAATCTGTAGCTCTGGGTATTGGAGGAAATAATCTTTAGTTTCCAGAGGGTGACAGTTGTCAGTAGATACATGAAACTGTCTCTTGCATAAGAAGCACTGTGGTTCCACCTGTTCTTCCTGTCAGAAATGGGAAGGATATGCTGGTGTAGTGCAATGTCTTTTCTGGAATGTTTGTCACTAAAAGACATCTTAATTTCAAAAAAACTGTCCTGGATCAGATTTCTATGTAAATATAAATTGAATGAAGTGTGGCTTGTTTAACCTCCCTGGCGGTATTCCCGAGTGTAGCTCGGGTAAAGTTTCAGTACCACAAGCGGTAACCCCGAGCTACACTCGGGCTTATCATGCGGCGCTGCTCCAGGATCTGTTCTTCTCTTACCTTGTCCTGCGCTCCCACGATATCCCTCCTGCAGTGTCCCCTGTAATGTCCTCCGGCCGATGCCGGCATCTGTCTTCTGGGTTCCGTCCCCTGCAATGTCAGGACGTACGGGGACAGAACAGCGGGAAATTTGAAAATTACAAAAAGTGACATTCAATAAAATCACATAGTAAAACATTACTGTATCAAACCATTTCACATACATACACATACTAGTGCTTTGTCCTGTGCCCTGCCTACATTTTTACTGTTCTTTCTGCCTGGAAACTGAGAAACGTCCATGGCGTCCAAAGCCAAAGAGCGTCCCTTTTAGGTCAAAATCTGTTTTAGACCAGCTAGAGAACAGCGATCGTAAATTAGAACTACTTGCAGAATTGAGTGATGATTCGTGGGGAAATTCATCATCAGACACTGAAAACGATTTTGCGACTTTGCTCAGTGATGTGCGAACTTGGCGCTATATTTCAAATTTCAGTGCTTTTGGTTTCATTATATTATAATTTAATCATAAAAATAATAATAAAATTCAATAATTTATGATTTCGTGTTTCAAATTTTTAACATACCTGGGATGTTTACTAGACTCTTGTTTGGACAGATTTCAGTGAGTTATTCCTAAAAATTACAGGCCTACAATAAAAAAAAATACATATTTCCATTCAAAAAAATGTCCCGCTTTGAGCGCAGAAATATGGACATAATCAGACCGCTAGGGAGGTTAATATAAAAGTGCCTCTTTTGCTGTGACATATGGTACAATCGTCCCCCCCCCCCCCCCTTTAGTTTATACTCTGTGATCTGATGTGTAATCATCTTGTTTGGTTCAGCATACAACAAATCCTAATTCAGAAGCCAAAACATTGAATGTAAGTCCCCATATACAAGGGACGTTTCTGAACGATGTAAACTGACTAATAGAAATGTAGGTTAAACGTCCGTTTAGCCGTGTTTGCATAACGTGTTTATGCGCGTTTGCGTTTAAACATAAGAACAAGAGAACCTCCCAAATGCACTGAAGTGGTAGATTATTAACTATTTCAGACTGCTTCAGAGAAATACACACAGTAGAAGCAGAGACAGCAATATGTGAGATAATTAGGTGTGAGTTGCTCATTAACATTTTTTTTTTGTTTCCAAGGGTGGGAAAGGTGTCTGGTGGAGTGTGTCATTAAGGTCATCTGGCAGGGGGTCTTCATGAGGAATTTGAGATGTGAATGGGCATTAACAAATCTTTGTTTCCCAAGGGTGGGAGAGGTCTGGGGTGTGAATTGGTCATTACAATGTGTGACAAGCTGTGTTAAGTGTTTTGTCCATCTGAGCATCTTGAAAACTTTGCATGCATTTTTCATGATGAAAAAAGGCTCTGGACAGCATTGGGAACTGGAAGAGTTAAAAAAAAAAAAAATAACATACATTTATAAACGCGATTTGCCGCATTTGAAACGCTGATAAAATTGACTGCTGAACGTAAGTTTGTTGCGTTCAAAAAAAACAACTGTAAACTCAACTGCCTGCAAACGAAGATGTGTACATGGACACATAGGAAAACATTAGGGTGAGTTCAGGGGCTGCTGAAAAAATTCTGAACAGCTCCTAAATGTGAGTTTATCAGCTGCAGTGTACATGAGCCCTAAGTGTGTGACAAAGGGTTCCTGGAGATCTATCTATTTGATACAGTATTATCGAATATGTCAGCACTATATAAATGTATGGACAACATTGTACCATTCAGATGCTTACGCCCAAACGTCCTACTAGTCACATTATTATTATTATACATTTGTATAGCTCTGCCTTATTGCTTTAGGCTTCATGTACACGAGCAGCTCCTGAACATGAGTTTAGGTGCTTTTTTGCCAAAGCTCCTAAACTCCACTCCATAAAAGCCTATGTACACATAGGCTTTTAGCAGAGTTTGAGCTGCCTCATTTGGGTGAGGTTAAGTCTCCCCCCTCCTTAACGCGGAAGAATCGCATTCAGGATAGGAACGTTTTGACCGCCAATTGAAGGAAAATGCGTTTTTTGCAAAAAAAAAAAAAAAGTATGTATTTTTATTTTTTTTCCCCCACGGCCGGCAGTCAGCGTAGGCTCGTGTACATGACACCTAACCGAGAATACAAAACTATTCATATTAATCTCTGCACCAGTGGAGCTTACACTCTAATGTCCCAACATTTATATGCAGTAGCTTTGACATATTCCATAGTGTTGTGCAGAGCGAAGCATGGATCTATGATCTAATAATTATGATGAGTGTTCAGGCAGCTGAGTCTGGAAGTGTTTATTGGAAAGTTTGCTCTCCGATTGGCCTTGTTGTTGCATTGCCAGTGTGACATCATTGGCCGCGATCTGGCTACTCCCTTGTGGGTTTATGTTTGTTTCACTCAACAAAGACTAACTCAGCCAGGAATTGTAATGAAAGCTCTGAGTGAGTCTGGAGAATTCTAGGTACAGCAGCGGTGCCGGTACAATCTGCATTATAATTTTCTCAAAAGTTTATCTGTGAGAATGACAGGACCTTGAGGCAGTGTATTTGCCTGCTGCCTCCATCTTGCTTGCCTCATAGGTGGAGAGTACATGACTGGCTGGACTCAGTTTTTTTTTTTTTTTTCCTCCCATTTTATTAAAATGTATATAATATTCTACATCATTGTCTGCTATATATGGTGCCTGAGCGCTAGTCATGTGTACACTGGCCATAGAAGAGGTCCACATTGTGTTAGGAATATGGCTGTGCCTCAGAGGTTTGGTGTGAAAGTGTTTTGTTGCACACCTTACTTTAATTTGTTTTCTAATATTAGTTTTACAACTTTTTCATTTGTTTTGATAGAAAATGTCAATTTTCTTTATCTGTCTTTCAGTGTCTGCGTTGTGAAGTTCCCCTTTACACCTTTCTATTCCTGAGCGTTGTGTCTTAACATACATGTGTAAACACATCATGCACCTTTTCTTCCCAACACAGGGCACTGCATAATATGTTTCTGTGCACTGCGGTACGCTGCAATGCTGGTGCTCAGTGGTCTCCAAAATGGGGGGGCGGCCTTTTGCTTGCTTGCTTGCTTATCTGGCCCTTTGGAGCACTTTTTCTCCCACTGATACAAGACACTATTCCTCTCACTGACACCAACAGTGTGGCATAATTCCTGATATTGACATCAGCAACAGACACTATTCCTCCCATTGACACCAACATTGAGGCCCTGTTCTTCCTGTTGAATCTAACCAAGGGGCACTATTACTCCTACTGACACCAACAATGCGGCACTATTCTTCCTATTAACACCAACAATAGGGCACTACTTCTCCCACTGACATGAAGAATGGGGAGCTATTCCTTCCTAATATCAAAGATGCATTTTTTTTTTCTCCCACTGACACCAAGACAATTTCTACTCCCAAGGGCCACAGTCTGGCCCCCCAAAGTCTGAAAGCCAGTAAACTGGCCCTTTTTTTCTTTAAAAAGTTTGGAAACCCCTGCCTTAGTGTTTTGTGCTATCCTTCACTTTCGGTGGAACCCAATGCACTAACGTATGCAATGTGCACTACTGTGTGATATGGTATGAAGGGGCCCTAGTGTAAATCTAAACAGAGGAACATACAGATCAGAAATAAACCTCTTCAGGAAGGTTCCTCCAACTTCAGCCATTAAAATGTATCAAAGAGCAGAAAAGTACTATATTGCAGCTGATCAGTCCTCAGATGGAGTGGTTGTATTAGCTCCCTCCTCCTCCTCCCTTAGGCTCGTTTACACTTAGTTGGAGGAGGTAAAAACATGTGATTGAGCCATGTTTTTGCCACCTCCCCAGCCACTCCCCTTTAAAATGAAACTAGACCCCTGGAAATACTCGCCTCCACCTTTTCAGTGATGCAGCAGGTTTTCAGCCTTGATTCACTGGTGGGAACAGTGACATCATCCCACGCATACGCACATAAGTCTTTAATTCTTACACAGCTGGAGTGTGCTGGGAATGCATGCTGAGTTGGGAATGCACAGCATAATGTGCATTCAGTAGAGTGTGAGCAGGTAGGTGTGTGTTATTGCAGAAGGGACATAGCCTGATTCGTTCACTATAAAGAGCTGACTGCTCGCAGGCTTTTACAATTTAGGTTTAGTTCCACTTTAAGCTGCGAATGCTGCGGGCAGCGGTGTACAGATGTTTCTTTGCTTCACAGCTGCAAGAATTCACCGTGGCACTACCATCTGCCAACTGTGACCCATTCAAGTGAATGGGGTTGTGCTGCAACTGCCCCACAACTGCATGCAATGCAACTGATTGTGACATGGTGGTGCAGCATTTACAAGGTTAAAACAGGCGGTGAAGAGGTGAAATATTGTCACACACACACACCCCCCCCCCCCCCCCCCCTGCCTTTTGAAAAACAATGTGTAAATGTAGCCTCCTTGTGCTTGGGTGGATATGCTAGTTTATCCCATGTATCTATGGAGGGAGCCATGGTTGTCCCACAGGAATGACTATAAACATGTCTGCCTTTGTTCATTTCCATTATGTGGGGAATGGGGAGATCAGTAGTTTACAGAAGGAAGATAATATTTTCTTTTTCTAGTTCAAATTACAGGAAGTGACGAGAAACAGCCTAAAGTCTTTATGATGTGATAACATTGTTTTCATAAACTAACTGCCAGATGCCATATGAATTTTAGCTGCTGGGGATGGCTCCTTCTCCTTTTGTATATCACTTCTGAAGTTTTTGATTTTTTTTGTTTTTTCCCTGATCCAGGGGAAAAAAAAAATCTTCAGATCCCACAATTCAGTGAACGCTCCTGACTGCTGCTGTATTGTCTGTCCTCATGATGCAGTGAAGGAGTAAGAGAGCAGACACCTGCTTAGTGAGGGTGTCAGGTTCTGCTCTGCACATTCCACTGTTTGTTTGTTTTTTGTTTTTTTTTGTGAAAGAGAGAGGCCAGATGCAGAAACTGAACAGGGTTGGATAATTCAGGAATATGTGTACCTGGATGAGAAAGAGGAGCATGGTTTCTAAAGTTGATGTCATTCTCCTATGCTGTAAGTCTGGCAAAAATATGAAGTTATGGTTTATTCTAAAACCAGAGAACGCAGAGTCTTCTATTAATAATAAATACCTCTTCTCCTGTAATTATCCTGCAATCTCCAGAGGAGAGCTGAGTGCAGCCAATTGACACCTTGACAGTCCTCATGGTGTTATCGCCCTCCTTGTCCTCTGCAG